GAAGGTTTTGAATAGCAATGCAGATATAAATAATACGTAGAATATATGGAATTGTTACTTATGCCTCTCAAAAACTAAAAGGAATAGGGGAGCTCAGGTCGAAGGGGGATTCAAAGCACCAAACTGTAAAAAATGTAAACTATCGTCTCCAAAGCAGCAATTTGGTCCAGCTATCTTGATTTCGCGGAGAATACGACTTCCTCACTATCAAAATAATATGTACAATGCATCCACATCTAATTGACATGTTTTGAGCGAAATTTTGAATTGCGACAGTGATAGCCATTGAAAGTTACTACTAGATGTACCTTAGAAGTACTATATTTGAATTTTTATATAATTTCAGATACCTCAGTGATACCAGTATCGAGAGAATTTCACATCAAGCCTTCTTTAAGTATACTCATATCAGGGAATTGTAAGTATTGATATTACAATACTTACACTTGTGTTCTCATGTTCCAGATCCTACGACTTATGCTCCCATGTTTAAATCTTACGACTTATGCTCCTATGTTTAAATCCTACGACTTATGCTCCTATGTTTAAATCCTACGACTTATGCTCCTATGTTTAAATCCTACGACTTATGCTCCTATGTTTAAATCCTACGACTTATGTTCCTATGTTCCAGATCTTAAGACTCTTGTTTCCTGCCATTAGGCATATGTTCTCATTTTCTAGATCATATAACTTATGCTTCTTTGAAACCTTATGTTCTCATGTTCGGATAATAACACCTGTGTCCTCATGTTCCAGATGATAAGACATATGTTCTCGTATTCTAGATACTAAGACGTATTTTGTGATGTTCCAGATCCTAATACTTATGTTCTCACATTTTTAATCATAATACTAATGTTCCCATGTTTTGATATTTAGCCATTATGTCATTTGCACGCCACGGTAAAGGTTTCAGATAGAAGTAAGGACTATAGATTCGATAAATGGCCTTCGAAATATTTGATTAAGCTATGATTTCTTTCTGAAATGTGCAAATAAAAACAAGAGTATATGAAATTGTCATTATCGGGCTTTCTGTCTTTCTTATCGACTCAGCTGCAAAATAAATACGGAAAATTCATGAGGTAAGAACCCAATGATAAATGCTTATTACGATTCTTGAGAATTGAAGTTGTTTCTTTTTCTTGTCAGATGTTGAATTAACCTTTATTATGATTTGTATCTGAAAACAAATTATTTTTAACTTTGACCAAATTTCTAGAAATAATTCTGTAGGTTAATAATTTGAGTGATCATCATGTCGGTTTTGGATCACTTTTTCTCATGTCTTTTTCTCATGTCTTTCAATTCAAGCCGACAGAAATTATCTCAAAGAATTTCCTCATATTTGGACAAGATGGAACTCATTAGAAAAAATCGTCATATGTTTGATGAAATTAAAAACTCGTTGTCCCATATTCCTGAACAAAATGGCTTCTGACGAGGCACAACAATATAAAAAGAAATCCGAACTTTTACTGACTAAAACAGTATTCTCTATTGCGTTCACAGATGGATACAAGGACATGAACATAGTCGGTGTCGCCAAACAATTTTGAAAGTGGAGAGGGAGGGGGGAGCAGAGCCGGGTCAGCCTTTTCTCTTTGGGGGCATCCCCCACCCTCTCTCGCTGAAACGCCATTGTATTAAGTCCAAAGCTCACGCTGTTCTGTTGGCATAAAGTTTCCCAATGTATCAAAGATCACCTTAGCTGAAAGTCTTTAGGAATGTTTCTACTATATTAGTAGGATATATACATTTGTACAAGTAATAGATTGGTACACAGAACTACGAGTCACTAATTGAATAATGGACGGAATATTTACCATTGTCTTCCTTTTCAATCAAAAAATTCAAATGCGTTCGAGTCTCTTGGTGATTTTGTGTTTACTAACAATTTACCTCATGGTCTCATTGAGACGGAAGACTGTATGTTAATGACGCTTCACTGCTCTATTTCATGGCTCTCGTTGCTCTATCTGTCTCAATCGCGTTTTATGGCCCACCAAAATGCCCATATAAGTTTAAAATCAAACGGGCGATGAAAATAATTAAAGGAATCATCTCGTTGTTCTTGGTTTTTGAACGTTTACAGAAAAATGTTTCCAGTATAGAGTGAAACGATGAACAAATTTTAGAAATGTCCTTTTTTTCAATTGTTTTTTTACCATTCACCATTCCTCGTTTTCACTTGGATTGAGCTACAGCTTAGCGATGTCTTGAACTCATAAATGTGTATTGATCAACTTGAGTAAATGTATAAGGACATACAGAAAGTTTGCTTTATCGGACAATAAGGTCTCTGATGGACTTTCTTGGTATTGGTAATTGTGTCAGTCATAACTCCATTATTTACTTGTTGTAACATTTTCATTGCAGACATATCCGAAATTTTACACGTTTGACAACCATAGAACCTGGTGCCTTCCGTAGTCTCACAAAACTTAGAATCTTGTAAGTATCAATGTTTATCCCCCATTAATGAATGGAATTAGATACCCCTGATTGCCAACCCGGGGGTACAAGAGAATCCTCATAATTCATGTTCTTGCATGAGATCTGAACCCAGGACCCCGTCAGACAATGACGTCGTCCAGCCTTAAGAGATTCACTTTAAGGTGAAACACAACTTAATCAGTATTTGATCTATTTTGCTTATGAGTTGAGGAGGGGGGGGGGGGGTTAGGGTTAGGGGGAGGGGGGGGGGGTTTACAGTTATGGTAGTCCAAAAATGTGGCAAGTGAATCTTTGTGAGCTTACTTCATCTATACGCCAGTTCAATTTTGATGATATTAACCTCCGTTTAAACTTGCTGTATTGATGAAGATTTTGTATCGGAAGTGTCGGCAACATACGTTGAGTCCTTGTCATTAAAGTTATATAAAGACTATATTATCAGTGTTTTTTTTCTGCTTACCCCAACCCCTTTCAAATTTATCACCATTCCCCTGTATACAACCAATCCGACGCCCCTATCTAAAGATTTATATAACTGTTACTGTATAATAACCATGTATAGATGTTACTGTAAGTTTCTATAGTAATTATATCTTGTAAAATTGGCTAGTCTGTTGCCTGTCACTATTATTAATTCTTTTTACAGATGGATTATAGACTGTTTACAATTAGCTAAAATAAAAATCGGTGCTCTAGGGTTATTTCAAGAATTAAATACTTTGTAAGTTGAGAATTTATTCTACAGTTTGAGCTATAATTCTTTATTCCCATTATGTTACGTGGGTCTTTGAAAAAGGATGCTTTCGTTTTGATATTGGCCCTTTGTTCACGAGAATCAAAGTTACATAAAGTCATTGGACATTCAATTCAATGTTTTCGGCCTGTAGTACAATACAACCCTGAAAGCTTTAAACCCCCGTGGTACGATCGAACAAGGGACAAGATTGTAAACAAGCTTGGCTGATTTCAACAGCGGTACAGAAACTTCGTTTAGTTGAAAAAAAAAGAAGAGAAATAACACTGTTGTCACGATGATACATCTGCTGTATATATTTCAAAACTATTTATATACTTTGTCCATTTCAGAAAAATAACTAAAAGTGGATTAGTAGAAGTGCCTGATTTTTCATTATTTGAAACGAAATCTAAAGAACACAATGGTACAATGTACGAAATGTAAGGAATTCTTATTTTATGTCATTACTGCTAGAAGTGTCTAACTGATATCATATAGCGATAACCGTCTCTCATGTTACCCTTCCGTAACCCCCTATGCCACTCTGAGTGTTTCAACCCGGGTCCCTTGGTATAGTTAATAGCTATTATCTGACCAAAGTAAAAATTCTTTTAAATTTGTTTCATTATATTTATGAAAGATGGAATAGTACTGTTAGTCTTAGAATGTCTGTGCTTTGATAAAAATATTAACATAAGTGCACATTTTGTCTTCAAACTTTGTTTTTACAGAGGCTCAATTTCACTTTTTTGGGTTGAAGTTTCTGGTAGAGAAATATGTTTATTATCAATGTAAACTGCAAAGACATTCTAAGACTAACAATACTGTTTTGAGACTGCTATTTCAATTCTTATTAAAAAAAACGCGGATAAAATTCAAAAAGCCATTTACTGTGCCCAAGACAATAATAGTGTTTATAGTCACCGCTATCATGAGAATAATTATGTGATGTCAGATATGCAACTTCCCGGACTAGTAGATTTGTTTGTTTGTTTATTGCAGCAAGTTTAACGAATGCAAAATATTTTTCGATAAGGCGTCGTTATTTTTGATAAGTCTAAGTTATGGCGACAATTCTGTGGTCGTAAGAACCCAATAATCAGGCTTGATATTTTAGATGTTAGATTTAGACTTTATGATCCTCTGTTATTGAATCGTATGATCTCTATAATGGATGGATATTAAAACTGTGTTTAATTTTCAGAGATTTATCATCAAATTCTATAGAAGTTATTAATTCTGGTGCTTTTAAATCTGTTAAAACCTGGTTACTGTAAGTGATGATATGTTCTCTATTGTACAATTTAAAGTGGAAGTATTTTATATCTTAATTTCAATAACGATGTTTTCATTTTCCAAACTCGGGTCCGTCTAAAGAGCGCAAGCAAGCACAAATAAGAGCAAAGAAGAGCACACAATGTCGATGCAGAAAATTAGCACTTCCACTTAAGAGCTTCTTACATTTCTTATTATTAAATGATTAAATTATAAAATTCAGATCTGATGGTCAATTTGAGCTTTATGCAATGCCGGGCCAGGCTTATATAAAGGTCGAGGGGAGGTGGCGCGGGGGGGGGGGGGGGGGGGACAACACGCCTACTACCAACCCCTTAAACGTTCGTGAGTGCATATAATATGTTGTAGCTTCTGTATAGTTTACGTACATTGACGACAAAACAAACTACTCAAACTTTAAACCAAACTTCATTAAAATAGTAAAAAAATGATTTACGACCTGATTTCTCAGTGAGAGCATGAAGACCGGAATAAGTCGGCATTTAGCTTTTAATTACATTCCAGGCGATTAGAGAATAACGACGTGAAAGAAATAAAAGACAGAGCATTTGCAGGATCCAATATTGCCAAGCTGTAAGTTAATTGTTCTGCATTCCATCATATTGCTTGATATCTTTATTACATCTTAACAGTGTCAAGATATTACGAATGTGTCTTATACCTTGACTTATATTTGCCTCTTTTCTTCCATGTTTACCATATTAAGCTATTGCGAATTGGTCTCAAACCTTGACTGCAATAGCCACCTTTCTTGTATTACGGAAGTGCAGCGATTTGATTGGATTGTACGCTACCGAATAAAGCCAATCAGAGCCCTCGTTCACATTCACAACCAAATTGTTTACAGTTTTTCTGTCGGGGGCTCTGATTGGCTGTATTTGCAAGTGAACAATCCAATAAAATCGATGCATTTACGATCTTCCCTGATAATAGAATAGTGGCGAAGCAATCAAGGTAGTAAACACAATTCGTTATAGCTTAACATTATGAAGATGTATTTATTAGTACTAAGCAGCTAATAAATAGAGAACAGGAAATGTTCCATTTCATTTTTATTTCGTTTGGATTTCTCTTAGTATTTTTGAAAGCAGTTTGTGGTTTATTATGAAAAAACTATTATTGTATTGAGTAATTTCTAAGATCGTTTTATTTAGTTTATTATTTAACAGTTTTGTATTGCGTGATAAGAAAACTTTTTACCTTTGTTCATGAATTTTATTCATCAATTTGTCAAGAATCACGACTCCAAGTCGGTCCGTGATTTCACGCCTTCCAAATGTCAGGGGCGTTATGTTTCATTTTATGTATTATATTCCATGGAAGTACATTTAGGTCGCCCATGTCACAGATTTTATATGTTATAAGCTTAAATATATTTGGATCTGGTCCTTCAAGACAAGACAGGACAGAGGCTTATATTTATTAGTCTCTGATGCCCAGACTATTCCCGTCTATGACGAGCATCGTTCGTAGAAGCTGTACGTAGACAAAGCGGGACTGGATGATAGAGGATAATATTTATAAGCTTTTCTTTAATATTGCAAGGAGCTGCAGTGGCTCTTTAAATACTTGTGCCTCTAGGATGGGGAAAAACGCAGACCTTGTGTGCTACAGGATGTACACACTATAGATCTCTCTACAGTTGAAAATGGCAAATTTGGTTATTGTTGTTGTCCAGGAAAAATGCCCCTCATTACACACTGCATGGCGTTGCAAGATTTCAATGGCACAATCAGGTGAAGAAAAGTAGGATGTAAAAGTATAATATTGCAAGGTTTCACGGTATAAATTTTAAATTTATTTTCAGTGATTTCAAAAACAATCCGGATTTGGAGATTCTTGGAGATCTAGCTTTTGATGGAATACAAGATTTGAGATCACTGTAAGTTAGCTTAATAAACTGGGGCCTTATTCTCGAAAACTTAACTCAGATATAATCCAGAGATTAAGAAATACAATAATCTCATTAGATGATGAAAATAAATGTTAATGATTGACCTTTCAGATGACGTAGTATTCGAGAAAAAGGCCCCTGTTCCGAAAGCGACATGTATTACGGATACAAAATTCAGCTCAGGACAGCTAGGTCTTTAAATGGAAATAAACTCTCTATTAGAATTAGGGCATTTATACTAAAAGTGTCGTTTTTTTTCAATTGTGTATATTAAATCCAACTAGATCCGCCTTCCATTGAAACTCATCAATGTGTACTACGGCCTTGCACTCTGCATGCTTGTATATTCAAGCGACTTTACGATTGTTTCTATTTTGTTTTCGTTTATTACAGGAATTTATCCAAGACGAGAGTATCGTATCTACCAACCGTTGGCCTTTCAACTGTCGAGGATCTAAATCTGGAGAACACACCAACTTTACAAATCTTTCCGAGTGTTCTGAAGTTTTCTCATATAAGAATTGCCCGCCTTACTTATGCCCATCATTGCTGTGCTTTCAAGCATCCAGATAAACAGGATCCGCAACTTTGGAAAGCTTTCGAGTTTCAGGAAACCGTGAGGAAAAAATGCGAAGCTCAAAGACCAACTGCTGTCAATCCGGGAGTACCAATAACAGAATGGGCTGTAGGCGGAGCTTGGGATTCTTCGGATCCTTTTCCAAGCAAAAACTTATCTGAAGATGACGCAAGTAACGGCAACGATGGGTTTTTCTCCGACGTACCAACACTGAACGCTAATAACACAATTAACATTGTCGCCTGTGGAAAGATAGCACATGCGTACAGTGAAGTTGTGTGTACTCCTCAACCTAACGCTTTTAACCCTTGTGAGGACGTTATGGGCTATGAATGGTTACGCATTGTGGTGTGGTTTGTCCTTCTGGCCGCTCTTCTTGGTAACCTCGTGGTCATACTGGTGATCATCACTGGAGGAAGCAAGATGACCGTGCCCAATTTTCTAATGTGTAATTTATCTGTTGCAGATTTTTTAATGGGTCTTTATTTGCTCCTTATTGCGTCCATGGATGTCCATTCTCTTGGAGAATATTTCAACCATGCTATAACTTGGCAGAATGATGGCGGATGCCAGGTAGCTGGATTCTTAACAGTGTTTGCCAGCGAGTTGTCGATCTTCGTTTTAACCGTTATTACTATTGAAAGATGGTATGCTATAAGCTATGCCATGTATGCCAAGAAACTGAAACTTCGCCAGGCATCTTTACTCATGCTACTTGGTTGGGGCTATGCGACATTTATGGCATCGTTACCATTAATGGGCATCAGTGGTTATGGCACAGTCAGTATTTGCCTACCAATGGAAGCAAATGATCTTCTTGATAAGAGTTACATCTGTTCCTTACTGATTTTAAATGGAGTTGCTTTCATCGTTATTTGCTGTTGTTACGTGAATATTTATTTTAATGTACAACAAAATAACACCACCGCCAGAACAAATGATGCCACCATTGCTAAACGTATGGCTATTCTCGTGTTCACAAATTTTGTATGTTGGGCACCTATTGCCTTTTTTGGCCTCACTGCTTCTGCTGGATTTCCTCTCATTGATATCACCAACTCTAAAATACTACTCGTCTTCTTCTACCCTTTAAATTCATGTGCCAATCCTTTTTTATATGTAATCTTGACGAAACACTTCAGAAAGGATGTGTTTATCTTGTTGGGAAAATACGGGGTCTGTACAGAGAGAGCCAATCGATACAAGGAGATGTACACATGGTCGAAGTCAATGTCACAGTCCCGAAACAACGGTCTTCACCTACATCACAATCAACATCACGCTTCTGATGTTTCTTGCATCACGCATGTCACACACGTCACGCATATCCACAAAGGTTCAAAGATTTTATTGAAAGGCACGTCACTATTGGGTGGATCCGGTAATGGTTCAAGTCACACCAAGCAGTCACAGTCTGCGAGAATCCAGGCTATGGATCAAAATCCAAACACTAATGGCGCCTGGTCTAACAACGATAAAAACAAGGAACGAAAGCTCTGCACTGTTCCTGAATCTAGTCCAGTCTGCGACGAGTACGACTGCGAGACAATATTAGATGGTACTGAAGGTCTGAAAGATATATTCGAAGCCAGAGGAACGGACAGAGTCCGCAGTGCCAGTGAATATGTCATCCTGTATCCACCATGCCAGAAAGATTCCAGACGAAGAACTGGACGATATGACAAGCAATCTAGTTTAGATACGACCATCAGTAGTGGTACTGAAACATCGTACCTGAGCGATTCATCGTGGAGAAATAGTGTCGATGTGGACAAAATCCATATTCATGATCGACAAAATGGTGGACAAAATGGCGATGATTCCGGTCGAAAGAAATCAGCATCCACACAAGGTTCTGGTGAGAAAAAATCTAAATTAAAAATATGTTCAGAGGAATCGTCGACCGTTTGTCCGAGTAGCGACGAGGAAGATATGGAATACAACAAGGCATTGCTTTAATCGTACAGGAACATCCATTCCTTGTGGTTAAAATTGGTGAGAACATTTCGGTGATTAACTAGTCTACGGACGTGTATATATCATGGACATTTTTAAGTCAGGCTCTCGTATCACAAACAAATCTAGAAATTAAAAATTTTCAAACCATATATCATCCACCTTCACAATGTCAACCTTTCACTTCAACTTCTACCTTGACTACAATAGCCACATTGCCACCTTTCACAGAATACAGCTATTTGATTGGATCATACGCGAGCGAATACAGCCCATCAGAGGCCTAATAATGTAAACATGTAAATGTAAATGGCTGAGTGTTTACAGACGTTCTGTATTTGCTAGCATACAGTCGAATTAAATCGCTGCATTAACAAATTTCTGTGACACAGTCAATGTAGTAGACACAGTTCGTAATTTCTTGACCTTGACCTTGTGAAGTTGTATATCATGTTAACTACCATTGATTCTAAGATGTTTTTTGAGAAACGAGACCGAGATGTGTTCGTCAAGAAAAAACAAAAATTCGTTGATATCTTTTTCCCGGTTGGACACTTTTATTCGGTATTCTAGCCTTGCTAATCTGTCCCAAATTATTGATCTATGGCGGACAGGTAAAGTACTTTTCATTTATATGTTATAGAATTGTCATATTTGTTACATGCTTGTTGTCATATTGAAAAATTATATTTTTAAAAATAATGTCTTTCTTTTGGTTTGAAATTATTAAGGTTATAAGAATGACAATGGGGCCATTTTTGTGATGTGTAAGTACGTGCACACTGGAGGAGCAAGGAAAGACACTGATAGAGATTTTCTCTCATGTTCAAAGGGCCAGTTTGCTTTGATCATTCGAGCTCCATTTCAAAAAGGTTGTCCTGCTATTTACCGCGCGAAAAATTGGCCTTGCTAATATTATGGGTTAGTAAATTTAATACAACGGAACGAAACTATTGAATTTGGAGGAATATTTGGGCAGTTTCTAAACTAACAAATCTGTTTCGTTTCATTTTGTGCATCGACTATCTCTCTAAATTTAATAGTATTGTTTATTTGTACACGTTTTGTAATCCAAAATAATGTCCATTTTCGCTCCAGAGGCTTACGTTACTTTCAGTTTGTGCGAATGGAATTTTATACCATACAAACCAACACACACGTCTACACACTCACTACATGACACTATTTTCAGTTATTATAAGATAACCAGAGTAATCTATAGCCTATTCATACTCTATATTATAATATGACAGAATTTTCCTTTTTCTATGAGATAAACAAAATAATATATATTAGACTGATGAAATGTTTTCGTGAAATTTCACATTCAAATTAACACATAATTATCAAACAATTATCGAGATTATTCAGATAAAGATACAGATAGGGCCTATTTAAGGCCTAATAATGATAAATAACTACCTGGTTTGGTAAAACATAATACTACAACATTCAAAAACCAAACGTCTATCCCGAGACTCGCTGTATAATTGGGGTACAAATCATTTTTAGAGTGCTATTATATGCCATGGCATAAAAACTAAAAATATATTTGTACATAGCCAGGGTTATGATTGTTATCAATTACAATAAAAAGAGCGGAATGCTGAGTTTACAAACCTAAAAACCTTTACCAAACAAACCACTCGCAATTTATCAGCATCTCACAGCATGGGGAATTAAGTAATGCGTGCACACAAGAGATCGGCTGGTTAATCATCAGCAAAAATAAGGATTGCGACTTGTTGCTCTGATGGACCAAAACACTTATCGAAACATATTCTGAACGAATTTTGTTTATCAAGGGAAATAACCACGTACTATTTACCATAGCTCCGGCCTCTGACTATTACTTTAGTTTTTACTATATTTTGTAGGTCAACAAAGAAATTATTCAATGCAAATTTTACTTTAGATTACTGGATTAGTATAGCTTGGTGCATCAAAGAATTCAATAGTTATCGGAGAAAATCTCTATAATTGAAGAAAAATAAATGACCATGGAGACATATATTATTGAGGCTTTTATTCAAACACTACTGCATGAAGATATTACTGCTAGAGGGATTGTTCAATGATCAGATTCTAGACAGGATCCTCACGAACACAGGAAGTTATTCTAGTTAACCTCATACCTAAAAAAAATCATTTCATTGGAAAGATTTCTCGCTGGTATCCTCAGTGATTTCGCTTACTTGGAACATAAGCGCTGAGTCGGATTTGAATACGAAAAATCCATATCCGAAAGGCATATCGTCATAATAGATACACAGCCGGATACTATTACTATATCAATAATAAATTTCAATAAAAAGAGGCCCAAAAACCTTACGATTCATCATAACGTCAAGGCATTGTTCCTATGACGTCATATCGATTGTCATCACTGATTGTTCTGAATTTCAACAGAAACGGCAGAATTTTCACTTTCTCTCACAATTTTGACAACATTATCAAATAATCCTGATAATTTTCAAGATTTTTGTGAATTAAGGTGAGTTTTTAACATTTCTTTATTGTGTTCCTGTTATTTTAGAAATTTCGTCCAAGGTTTTGATGTTTTTGTAACACTTCCAACGCTTTTGAAAATCTTATGTCCTTGGTGTTTTAGAAACTTTATATCTTGAAAAAGTATTTTGAAAATTACCATATCTCATTCTAAACAAGTAAATTTCAAATTTTAAGAAACATTTTACTGAAATCTTCGATTGTTTATTTTCTTTCAGTAGTCATGTTTACGATAATTTCAAAATTTCCATCTGAATCAGAAGTTCCTGAAGTAGGAATGTTTAGACGGAGTCCAGCTGAAATGATGAGAGATTTTGCAAGACAAAATCTACAATTGGACGCGTCCAGAAATGATGAACCAAGCTCTGGAGATCCAGCAACACGACATGGGAATGATACACGTAGTGAAAAGTCACCCGTTTTGACTAATGGTTCATTACGTCAACTGCAGTCTACGAAAACGGAAACAGAAACGTCTGAGAATGTTCCAGTCGGATCTGATGACGGACTGGTGAAGAAATTACGACAAAAGAATCTATATTTAGATTTATCACAATATGTTATACCACAGATACTTGCTCTGGTTTTCTCCAAATACGTCATCAACAGACCTGAGGTTCACGGTGATTCCATTGACATTAAAGATGAATCCAAAGACGTTATGAAAGTCCCGGATGTCCATTTAGATAATACAGAAGGGAATGGAAACATAAAACGTTAGTATACTGTGAAATATTTATTAAGTTTCCATCTGACACGGCTAGTGGACAAGACTGTCCCCGAGGTCATTCTTCAATATATTCTTGAGTCCAGATCCAAAAACTGAGTCCAAGTCCGATAACTGAATGCGAGAGCCTTTGTCTATAATAAATACTGTGATGGTATCACCAGCAAGGAAGGACATGCCCACATTTACGGAACATCTGATGCTATTCTGGGTTAGCCATCTCAACATCCCATAAGGAGAGTCAAAAGTCTTTATTTTTCAAAAATCTCCACCTAATACTCTCTTTGAGTAATTTGTTTCAGAATATGAAATATTTTATCATTTCAGAAAAGAAACCATCAAGATTTCAAAGATTAAGACGAAGTTTACAAGATTTAAAGAAAAGAGTAACTCGACCTTTTACACTTTTAACAGGCTGTTTCAACTCTAAACAAAACAGAGAATAAAATAGAATTGATAACTTGACGGAATACTGTTTATATTTTGAGATGGAATATTTATATTTTTATATTACCTATTGGACATTTTTATTTTGGATTAAAGTATATTTCTTAATTAGCATCCTTTTCTTTGATAAACCATAAAAATGCAAGGATTACCAAGCTACAGAAAGCACAAGGCCCCAACTCTAGACAAAGCCATGACTTTAGACAAGTAAGCACAAGATCCCAACTCTAGACAAAACCATGACTTTAGACAAGGAAGCACAAAGGTCCCAACCCTAGACAAAACCGTGACTTTAGACAAGGAAGCACAAGATCCCAACTCTAGACAAAACCATGACTTAAGACAAGGAAGTACAAGGCCCCAACTCTAGACAAAACCATGACTTAAGACAAGTAAGCACAAGGCCCCAACTCTAGACAAAGCCATGACTTTAGACAAGGAAGCACAAGGCCCCAACCCTAGACAAAGCCATGACTTTAGACAAGGAAGCACAAGGCCCCAACCCTAGACAAAGCCATGACTTTAGACAAGGAAGCACAAGATCCCAACTCTAGACAAAACCATGACTTTAGACAAGGAAGCACAAGATCCCAACTCTAGACAAAACCATGACTTTAGACAAGTAAGCACAAGATCCCAACTCTAGACAAAGCCATGACTTTAGACAAGTAAGCACAAGATCCCAACTCTAGACAAAACCATGACTTTAGACAAGGAAGCACAAGATCCCAACTCTAGACAAAACCATGACTTAAGACAAGTAAGCACAAGGCCCCAACTCTAGACAAAACCATGACTTTAGACAAGTAAGCACAAGATCCCAACTCTAGACAAAACCATGACTTTAGACAAGTAAGCAAAAGATCCCAACTCGAAACAAAACCATGACTTTAAACAAGGAAGCACAAGGCCCCAACTCTTGACAAAGCCATGACTTTAGACAAGGAAGCACAAGATCCCAACTCTAGACAAAACCATGACTTTAGGCAAGTAAGCACAAGATCCCAACTCTAGACAAAGCCATGACTTTAGACAAGTAAGCACAAGATCCCAACTCTAGACAAAACCATGACTTTAGACAAGTAAGCACAAGACCCCAACTCTAGACAAAACCATGACTTTAGACAAGTAAGCACAAGGCCCCAACTCTAAACAAAACCATGACTTTAGACAAGTAAGCACAAGGCCCCAACTCTAGACAAAACCGTGACTTTAGACAAGTAAGCACAAGTCCCAACCCTAGAAAAAGCCATGATTTTAGACAAGCAAGCACAAAATCCCAACTCTAGAAAAATGAAGTGGAGGACTTCATTGTTATGAAAATTAATAACTTTTCTACTCTCTTAGAAAGAAGAGTTCTAAACAGAAAGATGACTCTTGTCAAGACTGAGCTAAGTTTTAGACCACAAATACCACGTACGTATAAAGTGATAAAATAGTAATATTACAACAGCTTTCAACTGATTTTAATGAAATTTGGTGTGATCCTTTATATGGATGAGATCCTAGTCAAGTTTGAATTTGACGATAATTCGATGAACGGTTTTTGAGTTATTGCCCTTGACTTAAGAAAAACGCGTCAATATTTGTTTATGAATAGAAAAGACTACAGTTTTCAACTGATTTTTTTGAAATTTGGTGTCATCATCTATACTGATGAGATCTTGAGGATTTTTCGATGAATAGTTTTTGAGATATTGCCCTTGACTTAGATAAAATGCACAAACCCCTAGCCCTAGACAGAGTGATCACAATTCAAAGGTCTTAGACAGAACTATTACATGTCCCTGGCCCTAGACAGAGCGATCACAAGTCCCTGGTCTTGAACAGAACAATAACAAGTCTTTGACCTTAAACAGAGCGATAACAAGTACCTGAGACAAGGCAGGTACATGGCCATGACTGCTCTTATTTGGATGAATGATAACTGTTAACGCTACACAGTGTACAATGAATAACAATATTAAGGCCAGTGGCATCAATCTAGGCTACAGTAGGGAAGTAACTCTCTTCCGATTTTATGATTTCGAGTTGTCTTTAATCTTTATAGCTAGTATAAATTTGCCACTGCGGTTCCTAGTATAATTCAAGAGTAAAGTTTTGTTATTCCAAACGAAGAGAGACCAAAAAATACTTCGAAATCTGGATAGCGTCAAGGCATTGTTCCTATGACGTCATATCGATTGTCATCACTGATTGTTCTGAAGTTCTACAGAAACGGCAGAATTTTCACTTTCCCTCACAATTTTGACAACATTATCAAATAATCCTGATAATTTTCAAGAATTTTGTGAATTAAGGTGAGTTTTTAACATTTCTTTATTGTGTTCCTGTTATTTTAGAAATTTCGTCCAAGGTTTTGATGTTTTTGTAAAACTTCGAACGGTTTTGAAAATCTTATGTCCTTGGTGTTTTAGAAACTTTTGTTAACTTTATATCTTGAAAAAGTATTTTGAAAATTACCATATCTCATTCTACACAAGTAAATTTCAAATTTTAAGAAACATTTTACTGAAATCTTCGATTATTTCTTTTCTTTCAGTAGTCATGTTTACGATAATTTCAAAATTTCCATCTGAATCAGAAGTTCCTGAAGTAGGAATGTTTAGACGGAGCCCAGCTGAAATGATGAGAGATTTTGCAAGACAAAATCTACAATTGGACGCGTCCAGAAATGATGAACCAAGCTCTGGAGATCCAGCAACACGACATGGAATTGATACACGTAGTGAAAAGTCACCCGTTTTGACTAATGGTTCATTACGTCTACTGCAGTCTACGAAAACGGAAACAGAAACGTCTGAGAATGTTCCAGTCGGATCTGATGACAGACTGGTGAAGAAATTACGACAAAACAATCTGTATTTAGATTTATCACAGTATGTATAC